CCGCCAGAGGGATTCCGTGTTTGACGGTGCAGATGACGACGCCATCCTCCAACAATATCTTAACGGAACGGGGTTTTAACAAAATCCAAGTGGATAATTTTGAAGGGGAAAGGATTTTAGAAAACAAATCAGTGTTCTGATTTTCTCTAAGGGGGGGTTAGTCACCTAGAACTTAAAATTAGAACTGGGATAATCTGTGGGATAAAATTTTAAGGTGTTAGTCACATAGAACTAAACCTAGAACAAAATTTTAAGGTGTTAGTCACATAGAACTAAAACTAGAATAAAATTTTACAGTGTTAGTCAAGCAGAACTTTAACAAAACTAGAATTGGGATAATTGTACAAAATTATCCCACTTTTTTTATTTTTCTATACAAAAATGAGAGTTCTAGTCTTTCAAATTATTCCAAGTTTTAGCTTGGAACTATGTGGTAAAAAACTAGAACTCGTATTTATTTTGTTATTTTTTATTTTTTTCTTTACTTATTTCCTATTATGGTTATCACCATCATTAATTAGACCATCATCATCATAATAATTGTCAATATCTTATAGTCTAACCAAAAGTTATTTAATAGTAACGAACATTCTTGTAAGCAATTATCAATTAATAATAGTAAGTTTAAAATACATAAATAGTATTTATATCTTCAAAATGCATAAATATATACTTCATGATTATAAAAATTTATCCCACGTTATTTTATCAAAATATACTGCTTCACAAAATTGTTCCTAGTTATCCCACTAAAATATCCCACTAGCGAAATATTATTCCACTTTAACAATTATCCCATTTTACATGAAAATGTCCCAATTGACTAGCGATGATAGTCGGAGAGGGTCTAATTCAATTCAGTTTTTGAAATAGAAATAGAGGGGGTTGGGATTTAGGTAATTATCATCTAATTGAGAGGATTCAGATCCATACCAATTTTAAGGGACAAGGGGTGCAATGTAGGATGTCTGCTAGCACAAAAATGGTTTCACGGTATTGGTTTTCAAGATAATAGCGGTAATCGTATGCGGTCTCATCTTATCCTTTGAAATTTGAATAAAATGTAAGGATGGGTAATTGGACCTTTTTCAGCCACCCTCTAATTAGAGAGGAACTGGATATATTATCAATTTCGAAGAAAGTCGTGTCAATGTATTTTTCTCAAGGAGTTGAGAATTGACTATTATCACACCTAGGAGATGATGTGGTTAGCAGAATATTTATAGAAGCAAAAGAGAAATAGCCTATAACTCATTGGATTCTTCCACGAGCCGCTAAGAGTCACAAGGCAACTCCTATTTTTTGTCATTCAACATGTTGTGCTATCATGGATATTTTAACAGTTTATTTTGATTTTTATGATCATATTAATTTTTTACATTGATTGTACTAATTTGAAAATGTTATCGAAAATTATTGGCCTTTTTCTTTTTCAAATATGCTTCTACTACAGATGTAATTTTTTTTTTCCAGTTAAAAAAACGGCATTTGAGTGAGATGGACGGCCAGATTTGAATAGGTCAGGTATCGAGAAGGGTTGTTTTGTCGAAGCGTTTGATCGCATCCAAGGGTTAAAATTTTATTATGTCGTGTATTATCTAAATGAAATTGGATACGTGACGTGTAAAACAAAAAGAAAAAAAAATTGATGGATCCTTTTATCAGGAATGTAACAGATTAGGATATCCCAACAAAACCTAATTTATATCCGCTGTGATGCGGATGATGATGTCAACAAACTAAAATATAATAACGTAATTTACATCTATCTAAAGTTCTCAAGATTTTTTTTTGCCTTTTCCAATAATTATTATTTTCGGTTATTGTGATAATTTGGTATGTCTTGATTACGATTCTATGGCATTTGATCACTTACTTGTCTTCGATCAATTCGTAATGGTATACATTTTGAGGGTAAATTACACCCAAGCCCCTAGAACTTTTGGCATTTTTGTAGTGAACCCCAAAAAACTATCAAACCACTCTAAACCCCAAATAACTTTTTTGAATTTCAGAAAACTCCCAAGTTTCTGCGTTTTGTAGATCGCCCCCATAAATTAGAGCAAACAAAAACAATATAAAAAGGCATTTTGAAGGACAATTTTAGCAAAATAAAAATAAAAAAATAGGTTTCAATCCAATTTTGAGCATGAGCAAAATGAGAGCAAGTGACAAAAAGTGATAGATTTCTATTTTAAAGGTTGAATATATATATAAAAGGGGTATTTTGATCAATTTAAATCATGTGAGGTTACACATGCCACATCGGATGTTAAATTTGGGGGTTTCTGTGAAATTTTTGGGGATTTAGTGCATTTTGAAAGTTAATGAGGATTTACTGTAAAACGTTGGAAGTTCATGGGATTTAGTGTAATTTGTCCTATTTTTGACATATATGATTAAACCTGTCTATATTCAGGATTCACATTTATTTAAAGATTACATACATGAATTTAAATTTATATTTGGTGCATATTTAATCTGTTTATATCTCTATTTATTAATTGTCATTAAATGAACCAATTAAGGAGAAGAGCGAAGAAACATCACAAAAGGGGGGAAATTAAAGAGACGCCAAGTCAATGAATGTCGCACAATCCAAATGGGAAGGCTTCTTTTTCTTTCGTCTTTTACCTTTTTATGCATTTACTGTATTAACTTTGTTATATATATATATATATATATATCGAAAACCCTATTTGTCTCGCAAAACCCATCACACACGCAACGGACAAGAAAGAGAAACAGGGGGAGTGGGACCCACAGCTGATCTTTTTCTGTGTGTCCCACCCCCTGTTTCTCTCTCTCTCTCTCTCTCTTACACGCTGAGTGCGTGATGGGCTTCGCGAGACAAATAGCAGTGTCCTATATATATTTTCTTACACCATATTTCCTGTTTACGAAAAAATTAAAATTGTAGCAGATTTTAAAGAACAAAATGTGATTCAGCTTTTAATAAACAAGGCAGCCGAATGATCCTTGCTCCTTCCTGTCAAAAGATGACAAAAGATGGGGAGTACTCTGCAACCAGGGTTTGCTTTAATATTTATAGCGTAGAGGTGCCTCCCGTTTGGTTAGTAACTTTTTGTTGCCTATCTAATCATGTTCAATTGCTTACGTGTTTTGGGAAATTGATAGGCGTGTGTAGAAATAAAGATAGAAATGTGTCGTTTAACAATGCTAAATATAAAAAAGCAAACAAGCGACGGAACATACAAAATTGAAGTTTTGTAACTTCTTTTTTTTTTTTTTTTTTTTGGTTCGTGAAGTTTCGTGCCAATTGAAAAATACTGAGGTCCTGGTGTTTTGTTTACACATTATCCGAATGAAGCTGAGGAACACAAACTTCGTTGTTGCTGAAATGACAAATGAAAAATATGAGGTTCATGTTCACGCTATGAACACCTAAGTAGCTAAGGCTCCATTCTTGGGACCCACGCATGTGAACTCCTCACACGAGTTTACATATGCGCCTAAAATACAGTATGAATACTATCAGAATGCTTCGTGTATAGAAGGTGTTATATAACCCTCCAATGTGGATAACAGAGCTTTTAACTGATTTGGAACGCTAAAATTGAGCTTACATGGAAATGCATGTTGTGAGTCTCAATAGTTTTTTTAGGTCAAGTTTATGTCATTTCTTGCTAAATTTCAGAAAATATTCCTCAACTTTGGACAATGTTCTGATAAAATATTAAAGTTAAAGGAGGTTTTCTGATAAGCTTTAAAGTTAATGGGGGTTTTTCTCATCTTTTGAAAGCTATCAAAATTATATGATGCCCATAATTTGTTCCCGTGTTTTACGCTTGATTTAAGCTCAACAGTCATAATCCTTTCTCTCGGTTCCTGAGGAGGTGGGGGACGTGAGGCATAGAGGGGGGAGAGAACCTGTGAAGACTACTGCACCGGTACTCAGCCTCTCGGCTGGGGATTGTACCACATAAGCGTCAAGAAAGAAATCTCCTCCTATGATAAGGATACCCATTAATTTCTCTCTCTCTCTACACACACACCAAACATATATATATATATATATATATATATATATATATATATGGGAAAAGTGAATCTAATGTGACACCCTAGGCTCCCACCTAAGGACGCGGCCTAGAATCACATCATTTCCTAAAAAAAATTACGATCCGCTCCGTTGAACTTGATCTACACGTTCTTAAATCCAAACACACCAATTTTAAGGTGAACCCGTTGTGTTTTGACCATTCGTTGAGCCGTGCAAAAAGTTCTATTCATTCGAAACCGTTAAAATTACAGCGAGTGGATAAATGGTCAAAACACGACGGGTTCACCCCAAAATTGATGTGTTTGGGTTTAAGAACGTGTAGATCAAGTTCAACGGAGCGGATCACAAAAAAAAATTAGGGAATAACGTGATTTTAGGCCGCGTCCTTAGGTGGGAGACTAGGGTGTCACCTTAGATTCACTTTTCCCATATTATATATATATATATATATATATATAATATATATATATATAGATATCATATAGAGCAATAACTTCTGTCAACTTAAGTGGACGTCCACTAAGTTTTCCTTATCCATTGATGATCCTTGATTGAGCTACATTTGTGATGATCCGCTCCGATTAAACTTGATCAATATTCTAAAACCCCAACACACCAAAATTTGGTGTGGAATTCGTTGTGGTTTGACCTCCCGTCGAGCCATGTAAAAAGTTCTATTCACTCGAACGTTAAAATTGAACGAGTGGTATGAAGGTCAAAACCACAACGAATTCACACCAAAATTCAATGTGTGTTGGAGTTTATAGAATAGGTAGATCAAGTTAACGGAGCGGATCATCCACAATGTAGCTCATCAAGTGATCATCAATGGCTAAGAAACTTAGTGGACGTACACACTTAAGTGACAGAAGTTTTGCTCTATAATATATATAAATTATATATATATAATAGTATATATATATATCAATTAATATATATATATATATATATCCATATAGACACACACACCAATCAATTCTTTTATTCATTGTTCCACAAGAATGAGTGAGTTCTAACCCCTATTCGAGAAATCCTTTTGATTAGGGTTTTGAGTAAACAGATTACAACAACTTCTAAAAACTGCACAATTGATCAACCTAATGTCTCTCCACAATCTGACCCTTGTTATCCACGGCATTTTCCCGGGTTCACCGCCCCTCTTTCAGCATCCTTGCTTTCTCAAGGATGAACTTCCCTTCTTTGTACTTCTGACTTTCATCATACGCTTTTTCCTGCATAAGGTACATAATACATAGATTCGATTAGCACAAAATTACATGCAGGACGAGGCTATCAAGGCAAGACGAGAAGTATAAATTTAATGACAGTACAGGATCACATTTTAAGCATATGTACGGCTTTTAATAGGAAACGCAAAAGTAGTTTTCTTGGATGTAAATTCTGAGATTTCGGCCTCGGGTTCATATCAATTACCATGAAAATAAAATTACTTGTTAGAGAAAAGGTAAGTTTGGATACATTGGAAAAACCAAGAGATTAGGTTATATTATAGGTTTGATGCTTGACAAGAACTTTAAGTAGATAAGATAGGGTTCCGTTGACTTAAACAGTTTATGACTGGCATGGCAAAGCAGACTCTCAAAGCCTTGCACAATATTCACGTATACATCTCCCAAGGTCCCTGCATTACCCTGGGTAATTTATGTTCTGTGAAGACAAAATCTAATAGAAGCATATTGGGCTTTGTCTGGGTTTTATCATTTACTCTGTTGGAAGAGTTTCGGTGGCAATTAGATATAATTTTCAGCAGGCAAGAGATTCAAACAAAGACCATGTAAAGATCAGCAAACTGCTACATGAACATTATGAATGACACAAAAGCAAAGCAGCAACATGGTAAATATGAACAAACTAAATTAACAAATCTATAAATCACGTATTTATGTGTACATGTGTGCATTTGTGTAGGATATTATTTGATTTAGTCTGAACATGAAACATGAAATAAATTCTGTAATCTGTAACAGCAATATCAGGAAATGTCAAAAGTATCTATATCACAACATGAAGCACAACTATAAATTTAGCATCCACCAAACACTTCATAGAAATGGAAAAGGAAAAAAAGAAAACCAACACATATTAGATGGTTATGGAACAATTTATCACTCAGTATCAAGGGCGGTTCCACGTGTACCAAACTAGTGTCATGTGACACCAGTTTGGTATGGGATCCCTGGGATCCGCCCTCAAATCACCTTATACCCGTGTCCCATCCCCAGTAAAATAAAAAAGTCGCTTCTCTCCCCCAGTAAACTTCTGCAGTAATAAAATAAAATTACAAAAAATAGCGCCTTTGGGCCTCAATCCATCAATCAACTTGACAAATTGCCGTTCGCCTGAATGCCTCCAACGCTTCTATCGCATCTAACCCTCCCCCTTACCCTCTTCTTTCTTTCCCATGAGGCTTCACCTTCTCCGTGAATCGCTGTTTGCTGATTCTGGAAGCCCACGACCTCGTCGGCCTCCTCCACCTCTGAAGACTCTCCAACCTCGCTCCTCTTCCTGATTTTCCGGTCCCTAAAGTGAATTCTTGGTGTGTGTTTTTTCTAATTTCTATCTATGTTTAGAATTTCGGGCTTTTTTTGGGAGTTTTAACGTTGAGTTATTAATTATATGATCATTGAGTTTTAACATTGTGTTGTTAATTTTCTGATCATTGAGTTGTCAATTGGGTGTTTTTTTTTTGGTGTTTTTGGGGTATTTGGGAGGTTTAACATTGAATTTGGAATTTAGCCCTCAAATACTTTTTTAATTTATCTGATAATCATCTAAGAGGGCTTTTCTGATATTTAGTTCTTACTTGGATAATTGCAATCCTTATTTAGATAAGTTATCATATAGATATTTGTCAAAATGTTGTATGCATGGATCAAATAGAAAATTAGCGAATGCCAGGTTTTAGATAGCAAGCATCGTACAATTGGCTGCTAAAGTGAGAGGCAGAAACAATAATTAGCTTACAGGGATGAAGAGTAATTCATTAATTCTTACATAACCCGCATAATGCTAGGAGTCATTTAAAACTTCAGCTCTCAAACTGTTAAACACTTTTAACACTGAGATTATTTGATTTTGGTACAAATTTGACTTTCATGTAGAATCAAGATCACATCAACATTGATGTATTAGTGCATGTTTTACCTAGTTAATAATTTTATTATGATAAATATGAAAACTCGACGGGGACAATTGTAAATTCATATGATTATTAATTATATAGTGACACCATGTTCTAGGAATCCTGGATCCATCACTGCTCAATATGACTAGAAAAGCTTGATCTAGGGGCAAATTACTAGAAAAGATTGGGCCTCTTTGGGAGTTCACCGCTGAACCTTAATTTACAGACTTAGTTTGAAAGCTGCTGAATCTACCACATGTTGACACCATGCCATATTTTAATACATAGCTTAACACAAACACGTCAAAAATCTTCAGTATGAGTATATTCAATGAAATTCATGATTCAGGGGAAAACATGAGAATGGGCCTTACACATTGTGCTTTTATGGACGAAACTGAGTTAACTGACCTCCTCATTTAGGATCCAGGGGTAACCAGCATCCATAAGACCTGCTATCTCTAGATTGACCAAACCTTGGTTGCATCCAAAAAATTGGGCGGTGCTCCCTCCTGCCTACTAACCTCACTCTAATAACTCGTTTGAGAAACTGGGACAGCTTTATAGAGTGTTACACTGACACCTTGATAGTGAGATATTAATCACTTTTTGCTCGAAATGTAGGGGTAGGGCTGATAGATCTAGGTTCCAAACTCATTAAAGACAGCCTTTTTTTATTCAATTTCTTAATATGGGAAGAAAGCCACAATGAATCACTCAAAAGAAAGAAAGCAAAAAAATCATCCCTACTTTTTCATATATAAAAAAAACTCATCCGTACTTTTTGAACCATATCAAGAAGTATTGTATATCAACATCCGGATAATTCTTGATATCAAATGTATATCTTAAAGAGCAATTATAAACATCAATTATGCCTTTTTAAACGCACATCAGATGCAAGCCTCACTAAGTAGCTTAGGTGAACCTAAAACCAAAGACATCCAACTTTTGAGCTACTACATTGATAGACAAAGGAAAGCATCAAAACAGCCCATCTACGTTCTTAGACTTAAGCTTGCATCCTGATTATGACATCTCATAGTTTTTCTATACCCCATCTTCATCTTGATTATCATATGTTGATATTCCATTTGCAAAATCAACTCATCAAGTTTCAATGTGATGCTTGATTGCAACCTTGGTGCTGCATTCTCTTGAGTGGGAAATCATTAACACACACTTGCGCATAACTGCCTCAGTATCTTCAGTATCATTACTCTTACAATAATTCATTCCTATTGGAAGCTTATAACGTATAACTTACTCCAAGGCTATTATACATTTGAGAGGTAACCAACAACCAGGAGCTCTCTCTCTTCAAACGTATACTTTGAACCTTAATTGTATTCTCCTGGGGATATCTATCTATTAACTAAAACTTGGTCAGCAAAAGACAACTCAGAAAGGACTTTGATCATAAAATATATATCTTATTTACTGTCATTGGGCTTTTGTGATAGTTGTCCTCACTACCACGGTATTAGTAACAACATTCTCTGTGCACTATGTTACACAGACATGGGCACGAGTACTATCTATACGATCCAAGTAAAGGCATTTGATTGCCTTTGCTACTTCCTTGGATTTTGGTTGCCTATTTCACAAAGAATCATTTATGTTTGCCTCCAAACTTACGGATACTTTATCAATACCTGCATTGCTAAGGGATTTCAATGGGCAAGTAAACCACTGCGCTCACCTGATCATGAAGCTTTAGTATTCATAACATCGAACGATAAGCCTAGTACTTTGTTTATAATTTAATTTGATGACAGTTCAACTGTTCCCTACTGAATATAACGAAACTATAAACCATATAAATAAGCTAAAAACAAAAAAAATGATATGATGAAGTGCATGATTTCATGGTGGATACCTTACTAAATGACACTTAAGTTTCTACATCTTGAAGTAATTGCCATATTTCTTGGCACGTGCAATGTATGTGCATCCTGAGAGGGAAAAAAGGATAAATTCAGAAATAATAAAATTTTCGGTAGCTCTAATGTCTCAGATAGATATGTTCAAGATATATTATGAAAATTCTAGTCCAGAACAGTTTCTGAAGGTCGTTCTATTTATTACATATCATCATCTTATAAACGCAACTAGTGTTTCTGTTCACACTCCAAATGACCTTTGACCATTCCAAAGAATTATTTGCATGTGAAATGCCAATTGTAAATTGTAAAGAAATAGAAAAGCAAAGTTATTATTCCATCTAACCCTAACCTTTCTTAAATAGATATTAGAAGTATATTACAAAATAGGTATGAGATCAAATCATATCTAATAACATCTCATAATATCTAATAATACCTACTAGATCTACTAATACCAATAATATCTAACACTCTCTCTCTCAAGCTAAAACATATATATTTACAAATGGGAATAAAACTGCTAACTCCAAGAGCTTAGATAATGTCATCTTTTCTCCGAATAATTGACGAAGTCAACAATCATAAAAGTCTCGTCATAACCCGAAGAAATCCTAAGCAAGTAAGCCAGTAAAAACCCTACGCGGGTAAGCCAGTAAGCGAGTCAACTAGTAGAATCCCTAGGCGGGTAACTTGGCAGAAGCTCTAGGCAGATCAGCAAGTAAAAATCATAAGCAAGTCATACAGTAGAAACCTTACGTGGCTCAGGAAGTAGAAACTTTAGGCAGGTCAATAGAAATCCTAAGCGGGGTGGGTAAGCAAGTAGAAACCCTACACGGTTAAGTCGGTAGAAACAAAAAAAACCCTTAATCTATACATAGTTCGTTTGATCTACAAAAGAAGCATATCAGTCAGATAGACAAATAGAGGTAGAAGCTAGACAATCAACCAGATAGTTTGGCAGATAACTGAAGTGTAAATCAACATCTAGAACTTATAAAGGACATGAAGGCAACTCCTCATCACTTCAAATTGAACTTCAGACAGTAAAACTAAGAGAGGAAAGAACTATAGCTGATTCAAATCCAGCAACTCCAGCATAGCAATGATGAATGAACTGGTTGCTATTATAGTATATGAGGTAAGGGATAAGGAGCAACAAAGGTCAGAATTAAGGTTAAAGGATGGCCGCAACCTCACAAGA